CCTCTCTCAAAGCAGAGAGGGCTCCTGAAATCAGTTGCCCTGCTGGGCCTCAGTTGACCCTATGAAAATTAGGGAGGCAGGTGTTTTAGCTCAGGTGCCTCAGTCCAGACCTCCACCAGGACAAGAGGGGCTCGCTCAGCCTGCCAGACAGCACCTACCTGGCCCCAGAGCCCACGGCATTGTTCTTTGCCCTGGTCCCAGGAATGAAAGTGGATACCCTGGGACTTCAACTGAGATGCTCTGAAAAACTTACCTGCTCCATAGTGCTGTGATGCTGCAATGGGCCAAGAAGACCCCCGGCCTCTCAACCACAGCCAGGCAGCCACACCTGCAACCAGGAGAGAGTGGCTTCCCAGAGGCGGAGGATTTGGAAGCCCTGTTTACAGTGATGGCCATTGTCCCTGGGTCCCTCACTGGCACCCCCACGCCCTCTGCTCCAGTGTCCCTGTGTGGACTCAGCCCTCACCCCTCTCCTTTCTGCCTTTCTGAAACCTTCATGTCTCCTGACTAGTGACACTGGCACCCTGTCTCATTAACCTCTTCTGAAAGTGTTCCATTCACCTTCTGTACCCTGAGGGGTGCCCTTCCTTGTACCCACCCCCAGGGGGCTGTGGTTTTCCTTCACACTCACACACCCAGAGCCAGGTCAGGTAGGCGGCTTCCTTCTCCCTGTTTCGAGTCCTCAGTGACTCCTCTGCCTTTTCCCTTTGGAGCCACAGCTGTTAGACACTGACCTCTCCCATCAGAGCCCTCCTTCTTGCTGTGCTGCCCTGACCCCCTCAGCTCCCTATCATGCAGATGTGGCTCATCTTCTTCCTCCCCATCCTGACTCCAGTCACTGTGCTGACAGCTTGAAGGGCCATGTGGATGACCCAGCCCACTTCCTTCTCTCTCAGCCCCTCAGCCTCCCATCTGACAATTCAACCTCAGCTCCCATGCGCGCAATCACGCCTGGAACTCATTGCTCCCAGGAACTGACCCCTCTGAAACCTCAGTTTCAAGTGTCCAGCACACTCTTGACTCTCTGACTCCTGCTCTGTTACCCACTGTGAAATGTGTTACCCCATGACTCCTCCAAACACATCGGCCGCTGCCTATTTCCACTGTCTGTCACTCACCTCTGTCTTTCGCTTCCCTCCTGTTGTGCAGTGAATTGTGTCCTCCCGAAATTACCAAACTGAAGCCCTGCCCTTCAGTACCTCAGAATGAGACTGTGTTTGGAGGTGGGGTCTTTACTGAGGTAATTAAGGTAAAATGAGGTCATAGGTTTGGCCCTAGTCCAACATGACTGGTGTCTTTATAGAAGAGGAGATTAGGACACAGACACACACAAAGGGAGAAGACGGCATCCACAAGCCAAGAAGGGTGTCTCGGAAGAAACCAGCCCTGCTGGCACCTAGATCTTGGACTTGAGCCTCCAGAACTGGGAGACAACAAATGTCGGTTGTTTAAGCCGCTCAGTCTGTGGTGCTTTGTTATGGCAGCCCCAGCAGACTCCTACACTTACCTACTCAGTTCAGACTCCAACATTATATCCATCCTCTTTCCACACCTCCCCCCTCTCTCCCTCAGTTTTACTCACCAACCTTGGTTGGACCTGGTGACCCATGTTCTCCTTGCCTGAACCTGAGTAGCTGCACATGGTGTGTGTGTGAGGGTGGCAAAAATATGCTAATTAGTTTCTTCTAAAATGTATGATCCCAAGCCTTCAAATATGAGCTCAGCCAAGCCCATATATCTCAGCAAGTTTCCAGGATAAGTTTTCTTTCCATTTTCTAAGAGGCTATTTCATCTGATCTCTTTGTCTTCACAGTCCCAGCCCAGCCTCTTAAAGCTCACGGCCATGGCTCTGCAGATCTGAGACCAGCAGCCACCCATTGGGAACCTTCTCATACCCCCACCACTATGGCCATAAGTCCCATAGACCTCAGGCCCAGGTTTCTGTTTTCTGTTTTTCCTGTCCCAACCAAAGGCCTCTTATACTCTGGGTTCCACCTCCTTTTGCCTTTGCAAAATTTCCCCCCACCTCTGCAATTATCTCCTTTCTCCTCATTAACAGTTTCTCTTACTGGATTACTTCCACGTACTTGTCTACATATAATCATGCATTTGCTTTTCCTCCTAAACCACTTCCCTTGACCCCTATCCTTTTCTAGCAACTCCCCTATTTTTCTGCTCCTGTTCAGACCAAAATGTATAAAAAGAGTCAACCATACTTACCGATTCTACTCATTGACTGCCTCATCAGCCATTTCTTCATGCTGCGGGATGGCTTCCATTCCTTCTTCCTACTACTCTGGTCTGACCTTCGTGAAGGTCACCAGGCACTGAGGGTTTCCAAGCCCAGAGTCTCCTCACTGTCCTGCTCTTCCCTGTGCTCCCAGCTGCATTCCACACGGTTGGCAGTTCCCTCCTTCCCTCTTGGATCTTTATGACTCATCTCCTGGTTTTCCTTCGACTTCATGACTTTCTCAATCCCCTTTGCATTTTTCTCTACCTGACCTCCAATGCCCTGTTCTTTTGTTTCCAGATGATCTCACCCAGGTCCATGACTTTAAATATCACTTATATGCTGATGGCTCTCAAATTTATGTCTCTGTACCCAACCTCTCTCTTCAGTTGCAGACACATAGATCTAATGTGACATCTCCATTTAGATGACTCAAGGCATCTCCAACCTAACACTGCCCCATTCTGTAGCCACTTCCCCTACCTGGTTCCCATGTCAGGGAATAGTACCACCACCTCTTCAACTGATCAAAATCGAAGCCTAAGAATTGTCCTCACTTTTATTTTCCTTTCTCTAAGGTATCTGGACCCCACCCATGTCTTTACATCTTTACAACTCTAGCCCCAGTTGCCATACTCTTTCTGAAATCATGTCCTGAATGGCTTCCCTGCTCCCTTCCGTGGTCTGGGGCCAGTCAGGGAGGGGGCTCTGTGGAGGACTGGTTTCCTGCTGCGCAGAGGACAGTGCTAACCCGATTAATTGGATTTCCAAAGGAAGGCGCGTGCCCCTTTTTTCTGTCACACTTCTCTCAGAAACAGCACTTCCATTCAGAAAGCCAGATCAAGTGCCATTAACAAATTAATTCCGATGAGCTCCAGGCAATCCCCGCCAGTCCTGTAGGGAGACTGTTTGGGCCTGGGTTGCTAATAAAGTGGAAACCGTACTAGAAGCAGAGGCGATTATTTTGGTGCCTGTCTCTGTCCCTGGAGGGGACGAGAGTGGGATTTGATTACACCATGGTCTCCTGAGGGAATTAACTCACTTTCAAATAGTAAGTTACTGATTTCCCAACTTGGTGGTTAGGTCTGTGAGAACAGGGTAAGCTCCCACACCTCCCTGTGGTTTGTGCTGACCCTGATTTAGGACTGAGCATTCCGCAGGTACCCAATAACTGAATGAAAGAATAATTAATTGGTAGGTGGGAAATGAGTCTGGGGCCCAGTATCATTAGTAATGCTTCATTGCTTCATTTAAGGAATATAATAGGGGCTCTACTGTGTTTGACACAGCAGATTCAGAAGTTAAACCAAACAGATAAGGCCCTGTTCTCTTGGGCCTTGTAGATGATGGGAGGCAGATCATCAGCACCAATCAAGCAAATGAAAACCTGGCTTCAGAGAGTGAGAAATGCAATCACAGAGAAAATAGGATAAGGTGACAGAATGTGCTGGGGGGCGGGGTGGGTGGGGGTGCTGCTCAAAGGGAGCTTGAGGCCATCACACCTGAGCTGAGCTCTGAATGGTGCAGTCAGCCAGCCCTGGGGGAAGAACTTTCTAGGCAGAGGGACCAGAAAATTCAAGTGCCTGTCTTCAGAGAGCCTGGCCTCACCACCTTCTCATTTTCCCAGTGTACCCAGAGAGCTGGGTGGCTCTCTGTATGGAGCAGGACAGGTTCACATGTCCCTGCTGGGTTATAGGCATTGGCCATGGTGGGTAGGCCTGTCTGGGTGCTAGCCTTCTCTTCTACCCCTTTTTCAGGTTACAGGGCTTTGCACAATTCCCACTTCTTCCAAAAGTGTTTCAAAAGCCTCTCAATTGGAAAGGCTCCCTCCCCTTTCTGAAAAGCCTGGAGAACTTCTTTGTAACCTCCTGTCCCCATTGCCTTACATGGGTGGACATTAGTGTTACTGTGTATTTGAATCTGCTTCCCTATGCCTCTCTTCCCCTGCTTCTATCCAGTGAGTTGCTCAGGGGCAAGGGCTTCATCCTCTCTACCTCTCACGCTCCCCAGGCCTTCAGCTGACAGACACTCAGGGAGCCTGAATGGACACTGGCCAAATGAAAGTCCGAGGGGCAGATGGAGGCTCACAGAAGTCTTGTCTCTCATCCCAGAATGTCCAGTGTGGTCAAGAAAGGAAGGTACTCTATGCAGCTCCTGGGAATAGGCTTTGGGTTTGCAAAGAAGTTTCCAGAAGGATGATTTAAAAATTTTAAGACTACTACCAGCTTTATTATGGAAATGCTTGGAAACGTCCATCAGAGCAGCAGCCAGCCAGAAGAAAAAGGTCAGCCTGAAGACGAAAAATTCTGGGATTGAGAGTCCACATGAAAGAGTCAGCCAAACACCCTTGCAGAGGTGGGCTCCATCCCAGATCCCATCCTGATAGCTCTCCCAGTGACTCAGACCCTGAAAATGGGTACCACTCCTGCCTACCAGTAAAACACAACTGCTTAATTGCAGCCAGCCTTCCTATAGCTCAAAATTTTCCATCCCCAAATATTCCCAGACATTCCAGGATTGCAGTGCTGGGCAGCCTCACCCAGAAAGCTAGGCTATTGTCAGATGAAATACAAGGGTACAAAAGGTGTCTTTAGTTTGAAGGCGCCTTGGCTGACAGCAGGACCTGCCATAGGCCCCGAGTTGGAGGGAGGCCTGAGCTCCCCACGCTGTAGCAAATGAGGATGAGGCATGGTGTCCAACCCTGGAGGGAGGAAGCCAATGGGCATGAGGGTGAGATGAGCGTGGAGACGTGCTGGGCACTGCTGCTAACCTTTCACGAGGACCGTCCTGGCCTCAGCCCACTCGCTCCTCCCTTCTGACGTCAGCAGGCCGATTGGAGGCAAGCGTTCATCCTCGTTGGAAGCCATTTTGACTATTTTTCTCAACTGAGTGAACAGATCCCCCTCACTGAGACGGCGGAAATTAATGACAACATCCAAGACAAAGAACTGTGGGGGAAACAGGTCAAACACGTCACTTGTGGCAGCCTGCCCAGGGTCTCAGGATTTACAAGGCTTCACACCTGAGCATGGGTGGGGGATGTTTGGGCTCAAAGTTCTGGGGGGATGTAATGGTTCTGAAGAGTCACTGTGGGGGGACCAACCCAGTGCTGTTAGCTGTGCTGGACCCTAGGCTGCCCCAAATCAAAGAAGGCCAGGTTAAACTTGGCTAAAAAAAAACTTTCTGTGGTTCCTGGTTCACATTAAACCATTATGTTTGTGCAGAATTGAGTATAAACTGGTACAACTGCTGTTAGAAGACAGTTGTCTAGCAAAACTAAAAATGTGCATATGCTATGATTCAGCAATTGCTTTTATAAATATATACTTTAGCCCATGGCTTACAGAAACATATACTCTCGTGCCCCAGAAGACATATAAGGAATGTGCATATAGCCTTGTTTGCAAGAGCAGATGGTAAAGTGAGCCAAACGGTCTCTGGTAGGGGAACAGCTGGGTAAGATGCAGCATACTTATCCAGTGCATGTCTACTCAGCAGTTAAAAGGGATGAACTAGCTCTAGAATCAGCTACAGGGATAGAGCTCAAACACACTGGTGAGTGGAGAAAAAAAAGCAAGTCAGGAAATAACACGCAGAGAAAAATTAAGGTGGAAAACCAACACGCAAAATACGCTGTGTGTAGGTGAACACAGAATATGTGTACCTGCATATACCTTGTATGTAAGGCCTGAGAGCTGTTATTCAGTAGCTTTGAAGCCAGAGCTTCAGGCTTTTTAAAGCATCTTATTCCAGGCGCAGGTCAAGATCCCTTTCAGCTGGTTGACATGAGTGGCTGGTCCCATGCTCTGAGCAGTGCACATGCAGCCTGGTTCAAAGCAGCAGCCCTGAGAGTATTTCTGTAAGGGATGGTTACTGCAGGGTGTGGAGGCTGGGAAATGCTGGGTTTGACTTTTGAATGAAGATGGAGAAAGGTTCTCGTTTTATGGCTATCCAGGGTGTCAGGTGGGCTTCAAACCTGGGAACAGCCAACCTCAGATGGCGGACTTTCACAGAGGTCCCAACTTAGACTGAAAATGTCAGAGAAGCCCAAGAAGAAAATATTGTAGAACAAACACCAGGGGAGTCCCTGGGGTGGGTGTCAAACTTGGGTTTTAGTTAAAAAGAACATAAAACAGCTTTTTGTCAGATGAAATATTTGTGTGCAGCCTCAGTCTACAGAATACATGGTCTGGTGGGTACTGGTGAGGCGTCAGGAGCCCTCACACTCAGCCTGTCCCCGGGCTCCCATGGGCCCTTGTCGGCTCCCTGGAACCCAGTCTGAAGACCTGAGCTTCAAGGGATGGAGTATGGGCTTGTGGCATGGGCCGGACCTAGGATTCCTTCTCACCCTTGGAAGAGCACTTACCCTGTTTAATTCTCATTTCCTCACCTGTCAAATGGAGATCCCAAGGCCCACTGTGTGGGGCCATTGTAAGATCAAATGGGATGAATGGGTGTAAGTGCCAAGCCTCGTGCCTGGACGTGGAGGTCCTGACAGGCCATAATGCTGTCTGTTTATGGTGGTCTCCAGGAAGACTGCTGTTTGAGGGACTGCATGTGGAGGGGCTGAGGCCATGCGGGGTCTCATTAATGACCCTCCACCTGACCTGGTTGGTCAGGGCTGAAATGGGAGCCCACTGAAGGCATTCTCAATGGATGACTCTCCTGGTTCTTAAAACCCAACCAGTGGAGAAAATAGGACTGACTAGGAGTCAAGAGACCCCACTTTGGGGCCACCCTGCCCCAGCTCACTGTGTGGCCCTGGGAGGAAGAGGGGGCTGAACACGCTTGGAAAAGCAGGAAGGGTTGAGTAGGTGTACAGGTCTCCCAAAGCCTGAGAGACTGTAGAAGCAAGGGGCACCTACCTGGTTGCAGCAGGCCACGATGACGTGCTCTGGCTCAGGCATGACGCTGCTCTTCTGAGTCACCAACGTGTCCTGGGTGTGGCCAGGAAGCCGGTAGGAGGAGAAGAGCCCATAGTATTGCTTCATGCAGAGGGGCTGGCCTGACAGCTGGCCCTTGGCACAGTCGGTAGGGATGGCATGGCTGGAGGGGGAGAGTGGGGAAAAGGGCAGGAGGCAGGGAATCAGAATTGATCCTTCTGTAATTTGACTGGCAAAACAGGAAACAAAACCCAGAACTGCATTTCAGTGGCCCTCAAAGAGCTCTGTTCCCCACTTTTTACAGTCATGGAGCACCCCACTTCCACGTCCCATGAAAACCCTTGGGGTTTTCTCCGGCCTCTCTGCTGGTCCCCCTCACCCCTGCCGCAGGCCCAACACCAATGGACAGGTGCAGCCCTTGCCATTTTAGCTCTCTGTGCCCTTGCTGATGCTGCTCTTTGCTTGGCATGCCTTCACCCGCCCCTGTTCTCCCCTCAGTTGTTTAGAAAACTCCTTCCACTCCTTTCAAGAGCCTACTTATTCATCACCTCTTCTAGAATCCTGTGAGTTCAAAAAGTTCTCTTTCTCCTGTGGTCTCAGTTTGTTTTGTGTCTTCCCTTTCCCTCCTTCCCATCCCTCCCTCCCTCCCTCCCTTCCTCCCTTCTTCCCTTCCTTCCTTATGCCAACAAATGTCACTGAGCTCTCCTCAGTGCCAGACACCATTCTGGGATCAGGGGATACAAGCCAAGAGTTTCCAGTCTAATGGGGGCAGGTCCCAGGGTGACAACAAACAGCACACAGGCAAGTGGGAGGCTTTGAGGCAGTGGGACAGGTGACAAGGAGGAGCACCTGGGACAGCGTCACTGAGGACCAGACATGTGAGCTGAGCCCTGAGGGTAAGAGGCAGCGGTGGGAAGAGCTGGGGCACAGTAGGCATCACATCTATGTTGCTCAAAGCGCCCCCACAGTGGGACTGAGCTGTCAGGACCAAGCCATGAGCGTGGGAGCCCAGAGGGAGCTTTCAGAAACTTATGTGGCCACTTGACAGAGGAATTTTATGTCTGTTGAACCTAATGATAAAACAGGCAGTCTCATATTTTGTACCTTTGTACCATTTTTCTACTAAGTCACTTTTGTAATGTTTTACAAATATTTTATAAAATTAAAAACTATACTGCTGTTTCACCACAAATCACTTGAGGAATACTGGTCCAAGGAGGAAAGGAAGCCAGTGGGGCTGAAGCCCAGTAAGCAGGCTCGGAGTGGGGAGGCCATTCCCCTCAAGAGCAAGTAGCAAAGGTGAGTTCCACATCGCTCACCTCCACCCTGCCTCCTTCCCCACCTTCTTGTGTGTTCTCTAGATTCCTGACGCTCACTCGTGTGCACATAGAAGGTTTGGAGGGAGCGGGCAGGCATTTGAAAAGATGCAGGACAGTGCTCAGCCCAGGGAAAGGAACCACTCATGGTGGGGCCAGTGGGGGTAAAGATCATCTTGACGCTGGGGGTGAGGCATCCCCAGTCCCAGCATGTCCCAGTATCAAGGCCCAGCCATACAAACTGACAGGGTAGGAGGCAGAGGGAGTACCCCTGCTCCGTGACTGGAGCCAGGGACACAGAGCTGAGAAGAAACAAGGTCCCTGCCCTCTGGAAGCCCCTGTTGAGTATGGTGGGGAGACTGATGGATTAACAGGCTCCACCAGAGCAGGGCTCCCCTCCCCAGGCTGGGCCCAGCCTACCTGTCCAGCAGGGCCTTGTAGCTGAGCACACCAGAGATGAGGTTGGCTGCAAACCTGTGGACAGAGATGAAGCCTTAGCTTCTGTCTAGGCCCAGCCTCACTCCCTCTCTCCAAGCCACTTGTCCCTTCCTCCCTCTGTCTCTCCCAGGCTATCCGACACCCTACAGACCCAGGCCTTGGGGGTGACTCATCAGATGGGGTGCCTGCTGCTGCCTCCCATCTGGTCTTGGATTGGAAATGTTTCTGTGGAGACAACCTGGAGGGGGCCGGGGGGAGAGGAAACTGGAAGGTGAATGAGGAGGAAGAAGAGGGAGAGGAAGCCAGGAGAGGACACAGAGCAGATAGGAGAGGAGAGGGATGGATGCTCAGGGGTGGGGGTCTTCCTAGCCAAGGCCCTTGCTGGGTGGAGCTGGACTGGGCCAGGACCACAGCATTTTGAAAACCCATCTCCAGGGAACAGTAAATTATTAGACCCCTTGAGTGCTAATGAAAAGGAAAACAGGTGTGGGAGGAAAAAGGCACCAGAGAATTGTGCCATGGGACCGTGTCATCTTAACTGTCTGTGGATGATGAGCCTGGCTTAATTGCATCAGGAGGAAAATGCCCCCTCGGATGCAATTTTAGGAACTGTTTTCAGAAGCCATTCATCCATCTGCACACTTCCTTCTGCCCAGGGGGACCCAGGCTGCAAGGGAAAGGGGATGGCTGTCCCAGCCAGCAGGCTAGCAGGTTGGCTGGGCTGATCTCAGTGAGGAAGAAGTGGGTGGGGGGTCTCCCTAGCATAGCTGAGCCCTGCCTCTCGTTTCTGTCTTCCTTCTGAACAGTCCCCACATTGGGCCACATGTGAGTGCTGAGACCAGAGACTCAAGTGTGGCTCTGAGAGGCTCCTGCAGGGAGATCCTTCCTCCACCCTACCCTGGGGAAGCGGCCCCTCTATTGTCATCACTGGCCCACAGGCCATTCCAGCGGCTCAGTGAGCTCTGAAATTGCAGCAGATGGCACAGGCTCTGGCGGCAGCTGGCAGGAAGGAACCATTTCTACCCACTCAGAGCCCATTTAGAGCTGGGGGCCAGGGGGAGCCGAGGCCCACTCAGATAGCCTGGGCAGCGTGTCCCAGTACCAAGGCCCAGCCTCACATCCTGATGGGGTAGAAGGGTACAGGCCTCCTCCCAGGGCCTGGGCCAGGTTGACTGCCGTGCAGACACATGGGGGCCATGACCTCTACTAATGCTCCCCACCCCAAATAAATGCATCTGAAGAAGACTTTGTGTTTGTTACTCACATGCAGCCTTGCCTAACCTCCTCTCTGGCCCCCTGACCTGGAGGCCATATTTTAAGGGGCATTTGGCCTCAAAAAGCTCAGCCAAGGTATAAACTTTGGCTATTCAATCTTGGTGCTGTGGCCAGGCCCCCTCCCCCTGGGGAACAGACACTCCAGCTGCAAACCCAGGAGCACAGTGGCCTCACCTCAGTTGGTCATTGGTGTCTTGGAAGCGCTGTTGGGCAAAGACCACAGCTGGGCTGGAGTTGACAGGCAGGGCCAGGCGGTTACTGAGATACATGTCATTCAGCCAGTACTCAGACACCTGCCAGGGAAAGAGGGAGGGGCCTCTTAGCTCCAGTGCCCTCACCCCCCAACAAGAGCACCTTGCCCATGGAGAGCACTGGCTCCATACTGGCAACCCCAAGGGACAACTGGGACACTACACTGGGCCATGGACTTGTTTCATTCATTCATTCATTCATTACACGAACACACACTGGGCCCCACTTATGTGCTGGGACTTGTGTGCCCCAGCCCACCATGATTCTCCTCCACCTTTACCCCATGCCATCTCCTTTCTTCCATCCCATTTGCCCATCCTGGTTGATTGGTGCCTCCTCCCTGTCCCCTGCCCATCCGTATGCGTGTCCTGTTCCTGCCTTTCACCCTCTCTGGTTCCCTGACCTCACCTCTATTTTCTGCTGCCCCATTTCTGGTCCCTGTCCTTGTCCCCATCTGTCCCTATTTCTGTTCCTCACTGTCCCCCATCCCTGGACCCCATCTGTCTTCCATCTCTATGCCATGTCTTTCTGTTACCCCATCTTGGCCCCGTCTGTCCCTCTCGGTACACACCCTTATCCCCCATACTACATCTCATTGCCCTCTATCCTTGCTCCTTGTTGTCCTCATCTCCCCGCATCTTTGTCACCTACCTGCCCCTTGTTCAAATCCCTCTGTCTCCTTGTCTTCTTCCTGCCCCCTGTCCTGTGGGTCCATTGTCTGCCCCCCAGTCTTCCTCTTCCCAGCAACTCTTACCCAGTTGGCTGTCTTCTCCTGCCGTTCCAGGAGCTTCTGCTGCAGGGCCTCCCCAAGGCCGCCAGGGGCCCCAAATTGCTGCACGATGGCCTGGCTTTTCCTGAACTGCTCTTCAGGCACCAGGTGCTGCATGCACCGCAGGTAGGTGGCTAGGGTCTGCTGCAGTGGGGGCACTGGGAGTTTGGGCAGCCCCTGGAAGAGATGATCCTCAGGTACTTGCTGTGCCCCTCCTTAAGCGTGGTCCAAGCCTGTCCCAGGTTAATGCTATGTCTGTCCCCACCCACCCCTATCCTTATTCCTTCTCCTGGGTCTCTTCTGTTTAAGGGTTCAGCTCAGCAGGTTTATGAACTTTGGAAGCTTCTGTCTGCTTTATCCCAGCCCTGCTCACAGGAGGAGAGAGAGTACAGAGGAAAAGACCTTATGTAGGCAACAGACAGATCTGTGTTGAAGCTCTGGCCCTGCTTCGACCAGCTGTGTCATCTTAAGCAGATCAGTCTTCTCTCTTATAAAATGGAAATAATAACCTCTCCTTCTCAGAGAATCACACAGATCATGGATGTGAGTGCTTATAAACCATAAAGAATGGGTCTAAGATGAAATAGTCTCATTATTGATATTGGTCACTTTTAATTTAGGAATTGTTTTCAGCTGGAGTTCCAGAATCCAACTGATCTCTGGACCCAAAGGGTGTGACTTTCATGGGGAAGATCTGGACAGGTGAGAGAGAGAAGGAGGTGAGTTCACTGCTTGTCTGAATGGCAGGATTCTGTAAGATATTTACTGGGAAGATGACTCATGCCCTGGCTCTTTAGTAAATCCCTCCCGGTTGTGAAACCCTGGAGGGGTGCTCTGCTCCACGGGGCCTGGGAAAGGGGTTTGGCGGAGAGTGTGCAGTGCTGGGCTGTCTTCTTCTCTTGGCCTCTCCATTCTCAGCTGCCTCCTCTACAGGACTTAAATAACAATTCCTACCTATAGTGGGGTGGGGGTGGGGGAGCACAGAGAGACTTAAACAAGAGAAACAATTGGCTCCGAATAGATACATCATAAAATGATGTGATGTCCTTACTCTCCTTATTCCTAATCATAATCTCTGGGGGTTCCCAAAGTGTGGAGAGAGCCTGGGTAGAGACAATGTGCTCCCTATCCAGGCCTGTGCCTTCTGCTGTGTTCACCCAGGGATCTCATGCGTCTTTCTCCATTTCATGGCTTAGCCTGGGCAGGAAATTTTGTCCATTTACAGGTGAGGAAACTGAGGCCCAGGGAGTAGAGATGCTAATCCAAGGCCACCCAGCAATTTGGTGGCAGAGCTGAGACCTGGAATCAGTCTGTGTCCCACATCTGTCTGCTCCTTCCTCCTAGACTTCCCCTCCTTTCTCCTGAGCTCCCTTTTCTATTCTTTTTACTTATTCCTCACTGAGCTGGTCACAGTTGGAAAACAGGACTTTTCATATTATTAATGAACACTTACAGAGATGATGGTAGTAGGTTACCTTCTTTCAGGGCTTTGTCCCCTGTTGGGTTGTGGGGGGTGGGCTGCAGAGTGAAAGGGCCCATGGAAAGTGTGCCTCTGTGCTGCTGGGGCTGGAGCCCCCTTACCCTAGCAGCCTGGGGCAGACAGGAACGGGGTCAATGCATTGATGAATGAATGGGGGTCCTCTACCTGCCAGATCCTGGCTCTAGAGTTCACTGCCCTAGTGGGGAGGGTGAAGGGTCCCAGTGCCAACTATGGGTTGCTGCCCTGGGAAATACTTGAGAGTGAGTCTGGGAAGCATTCCAGATTGCCCAGCCTACTCCAGGGAGTCAGGTTCGGGCTCTCTACCCAGCTGCTTTGGACCCCTCTCCCTTCTCTTGCAGTCCAGGGATCTGTGTGGTTGGTCAGTGGGAAAGCAACTGCAGAAAACCCAGCTCATCTGGTGGCTTTGCCCAGAGTGTCAGCAGGCCTGGCTGGAGGTCCTGCTAGCAAAAGGCCACCCTTCTTTGGGGCTTTGCATGCCTCCAGCTGATACCTGCTCCACAGCTTGGGTCACCATGGGTAAAGAGGAATGGGGCCCTGTGAGGCTCCTCCCTGGGCTCTCACTGGCCACTAACTCACTTTTATTAAAGAAGGTCTCTGGACCCTGGCATCGCAGGTCAATATACATTTTCTGGGCAGTTATGTGAGCCAGGCCCTGGGCCAGACTCAAGGAGGATGGAGAGACAGGGCCTATTCTCAAGGAAGCCACAGGCCAATGAGTGGGATATGCCATGGACCAGATGCCACAACAGTGCTTGTCAGCTGCAGAGGTCAGGACCATGTAGTGAGCAACTTCATGGGACAAGCGCAGAAGTTCTGATTAGGGTTTTAAATAAGCCCTGGAATGTGGGGCTGGGTATAAGGAGGTGGCCAGAAGACAAATGTGGCAGAGGGACCATCGTTTCAACATGTGAAGATCAGATGTGTTCCTCTTTCGCTCTGGCAGGTTGGCTGGGGTGGGAAGGGAGGATGGCTGCCCAGGGAGGGGTGGCACTGTCTCAAGCCAATGGGGAAGATGGTGAGTGCCTGAGGCTCCAGTGCCTACCTAGTGACAGCAGCTGGGGCTGAAGTGTGACAGGGCTTGGAGTATAGCATTCAGCCTTCCCCTAAGGCAACTCCACTGGGCTCAAAGCCGTTGGAGGTGGAACTTTGGATGGGGCAAAGCCCTGGGAGAAGAGAGTACCTGGCCCAGGTCTAGAGCTCTTTCTGGCCTTGGGGGTTAGGAAGGGTGGCTGCATTCCCTCTGCACCCCCTGAAGCCATTCTCAGCTGCTCTAGGCTTTCCCAGGCTCTTCCGCAGGCCTGGAGCAGGGCTGGGCCTTTTGCCCATGAGAGTGCAGAACTGGGGATCAGGCAAGTGCTGGGGGACAGTCCCACTCAGATGATTCTGGATTTGTTACAAGTAGTGGCACATAAGTGGAGAGAGCAGGGATGAAAGAGAGGGCTCCAAAATTCACTCACAGTTTCCTCCTCACTGCTGGGACTTGTTGTTGCCATCTTATGGGGGGCTTTTTCCAGAATGGGCATCCTGGTGACTCCTGGTTGGGGAAGCCGAAGCGCAGACCTGGGGACCAAGAAACAGGGGGTCATCAACACAATAGCCACATAGAGCTGCCATGGACCCTTCACTTCCCACATCCTCACACTCCATTCCTTCCCTGTGAGGAGGCCAGGCTGGACATGGGCCCAGTGTACACGGGGGCCTCACTGTAGGCTTGGCCCCAATCTCCTGACCTCCAGACCAGATTCCCTGATGACAGCATCCTCTCTGAGTCCCCAAATGGGAAAGAGTGACACGTGATGTGAGCCTCCAGCTGGTACCTGCTCCACAAGACTGCTGTCACGTAGGTCCCCCTGAGTTCCCAGGCAGTGTGGGAGGGAGCACAGCGGGCTTGCCCACCCCAAGTCCATGAAGGGTCATTTGCAGAGCACTTGTTTTATTCCTGCTATGATCCAATAGATATGTGCTTTGCTGATTAAAATCTCTCTTTCCTGCTGGACTTCTCCAGGGAGCTTCTCCAGGGCAAGACCATACCTGTCACGTATGTTCAGTGTTTCATCTCTGGGACCTAGCCAGGTGCCTGGCATGAAGTAGGTTCAGTGTTTAGTAGCTAACTAAAAGAAATGTATGCATGAATGCATGCATGGATACATGACCCTCTGAGGCTCTGGTCTCCATGAGGCACTTTGGGCTGACTGGGGGCCTGGCCCCATGGCCCAAGCAGGAGGACCCTGGGTCCTGCCAGGTGGGCTGCAATTTGGGCAGTCTAGGGTCTGCAGGCTCCTAGTGTAGGTGGCATAGGAATGCTGAGGGAGGTGGTACAGAGAAGCTGGAAAGCCCAGGCCCCAGGGGGCCACCTGACTCAGCTTGGAGATAGGTGGATTAATTTGAAGGTGCAGTAGAAATGAGCCAGGTCAGGAGGGGCAAAGGCTCATTTATAAGGCCTGTAGGGCCAACTTCGACCCTCAGAGATCCCCCTAAGCAAAAACCTCAGAGCCACACATCATGATTCCAGTTGTCCACCCCCTGCTCTCTTACAAGAGCCCAGAACAGATGCTCAGCCCATGCCACCCCATCCGCACCACCAGGCAAGCACAGCTCCAGCGGGGGCTGGGCACAGGCACGGTGGACCCAAGCACACAGCCTCCAAAAACCTGGATGTGCTGGGTGCAGGGGTGGAGGGACTTGGGGTTGTCTGGCTGAGCTGGGCAGGGAATGTAGAGCCCTGGTGAAAAACACCAGCACCCACTTGGGTTTTCCAGAATAGGTGGTGCCCAGAACCTTCAGTGCTGTGGAGCAAAGGCTGCTCTCGAGGGACTGCAGGTTAGGGTCCACCCCAGTTGCTGTGGAGGGCTGACAGGGAGGGGAGGGCAAAATCAGGTTGGGAGGGCAAAATCAGGTTAGTAGAGCCCTAGAGATTGTGTCTGAGACCACCTGCAGCTCCGCCATGTCTTGGAAAGGCAGCTGAGTCTTGTCTCGTCTCTTGGGGGCCAAAGAGGAGGGCCTGGATCTGGCAGGCTAGCTGCTCTTCCTCCTTGGCCCTTGGGCCAGCGGTACGAGGATGGATGTGTGTATGTATCCCTGTCTGTTAAGTGCCCTGCAACCCATGCCGCCACTGGCTGGGCTCCGGAAGGTTGCCAGGAGGGGTCTCTGCTCTGCCCCGGAGACCCAACCCCAGCTTGCCCCAGGCACCACAGCATCACAGGCAGACTATGCCCTGTAGAAACTCCCTGGACCCAGGCCCATACTTGCCAAACGTGGCCCTTTCCCACCTGCCGCCTCCGGAAGTCGGAGAGGGGAGGGTGCGTGCCCGCACTTCAGAGCGGTCGGGTACGGTGAGACCTGCTGATTCCCCGCTGGGCCCAGAAAGCGCAGACCTTGGTACTTAGCATATAGGGGCCCAAGAGAAGTGAGGCCACCACTCACGCGGAGCTGTGGAGCCTGACAGTCAAGCGTCTCCAAGGCTTTTCCCCTAACTTCTCATCGTTCAGCTCCCAGTGCCCCTGCCCCCAGGTGGGAAGGCATCAGAGCCAGGGAATCCCGCAGTCTCCTGGCGGTCCCCCGACGGCCACTGCTGTTCGGGACTCGGAGGACTCCGTGGGCCCTGGGGCTTCTCCGCCCCAGCGATGTCCCTGGATGGAGCCTCCGGTGCCGCGCTCTGCTCCCTGCGCTCCCTTCCTCGGGCCGCGCTCCGCGCGCCCCTCTCACCTGCTCTTCTCCACCCTGCTGCCTGGGCCGCCGCTCCACCGCACCAAGCAGGACTGTGGCGGGAATGCGAGACGCCGGGGATCCGGAGGCGCGTCAGTTGTACCGGAGTCGGGGCTGCCGCCTCTGCCGGTGGTAGAGTCTCCGACGTTTCCGAGTCCCCGCAGCCGCCCGACTGGCTGCAGGCAAGCCGGCCGCGCCTGTCCTCTCCTGCCTCCTGTTCCTCCTCCCTCAGCCCCACCCCTGTCTCTGTTTCTCTCTCCGGCTGTTCTCCGTCCCCACACCCTCAACCCCCTCCCGTGCCGCCGCCTTAGGCGATACCACCTCCCAGCCCCCTGCCCCAGATCAGACAGCTTCCCGGACGAGTCTGAACAAGAGCAGTGTAATCCGGGCCTGAGAAGGGCGTGCAAAACATTGCCCCGCCCATGCCCATGCCCCCTGTCCCCGCGCTCCCCAACCCCATTATTCTAGCCGCCACTGCAGCCGCAGATCCCTGGAGAGGGCTGGGTCTGGGGAAATTTGTGCCCTGCCCACTGTCTAGGTGAGGTTCAAACCCTGCTACAACTGCTTTCAAAATTATTATTATTAATAATAAAACCTCTTTGATGATCACTGTGAGCCCTCCCTCTTTTTCTGTTCCAGCCCCATCCCTGCTGGCTTTAGGAAGTGGGGGAGATACAGACCTGGGAATGCTTAGAGACCCACAGCCAGAGAGACTCTCCTCCCAGACAAAGCACTTCCTCTGCCCCCGCCCCCAAGTTATAGATCCTTACTTGCAAGAACACACACGCAGACCCCCAAGACAGCCCTGCCCAGACAGACACACACACACACAGCCACACATGCAGAGGGCGGAGGTGCACACACCGTGAGTGCAGACCTCACAAGGACTGTGTAATAAATACACAGGGAATCCCATCCCCGCGGCCTCTCCACACCAGAATCTGAGGATTCTGGGCCTTCAGCAGGCCACAGACTGCAACAATTACAGTGGTGCACAAATGCCGGCTTGGGGTTCTAGGACCCACACTCAGGTGGGGAGATTTCTCTGACAGCCCTGAGTGGCTGCTTCCATTCAGGATGGAGTTGGGGTATTGTAGGGATGGGGTATTGACACCAGCTCCCACACTCACACCCTCCCAGTTCCAACTCGGTCGCACATTGCCCAGACACAGCACACACACAGACAGCTGTTCCCCAATTGTCCTGGATAGAACCTTGCTGATGAGCACACACGTCACACAGAGCGTTTTCAAAGATCGGACCTCTGCCAGGGGCACCTCAGTTCCTCCTCTTCTTTGTGGTCTGGAAGGGCAGGATGCCAGGCTTGTAGGGCAGCTCAGTCTCTGAGCTCCAGTTGATGCAGGGCGTGTCCTCAAGGGTCTGAACCTAACAGACTGTGAGGGAGCGGGTCCTCAGGCTCCCTGGGACGGTGCCCTGGGGCACTGCCCTGGGGCGCTGTGCTGGGCCTGGGAAGGCTAGGCTTGAGGGTGGGTGGGCGTGTGCACCACAGCGTGTCTGTGGCTGAGAGCCTTTGTTGGGTTTGCTTCTTTAGCATCTCTTTTTCCAGGTAGCCAAAGAGCCACAGGCTCCCAGTGAGCACCCTGCACTCAACCCTAAATTGGGACTAGACCAATCACCTTCCCCTAGGTGCTGGCCTTGTCCTGGGCTGCCCACCCACCATCAGTAAAGAGACTCGGTGTCAGACAGATATGGTTTATTGATTCGGGCTAGAGGCACTGCGGTGCAGTGGGCCAAGTTGGCACTGGGAGGAACAAAAAGTAGGACAGACAGATATAGCATGGCTATCTAGAAAGGGGAGCCCCAAGGTGGGGGCCCACGCACCTCTTCATCTGTGTCAGGAGCGCATCACTTGGCATGCCTCGGTGCTCCATGCCCCATTGGAGAAAGGGAGAGAGTCATGAAGAGGGGACTCGGGCAGGGGAAGAAAAGACAGGGGAGGCACTGGAGTACTCGCTGGAGAGGCCAGGCTTTGAGCCTGAGCTGGCCAGTGCACTCACACAGCAGCCACCTTGACCTGGAAGATGGAGAGTGGGTGGGTTGCCTAGAGGAGGAGCCGGGCTGCTAGCTGCGGGTGTAGTAGTCATTGTAGTCGTCCTCGCACTCCTCAAAGGGGCCAGGTGGGCTGCAAGGTGCCCCATCCGGGTTGGACACTGGGCGGTCACGCAGGCGCATGGCATCGTACAGACCCTGAGGGGACTCATCCAGCAGGACGTCGCGCTCAGAACGGGAGCGCGTCAAGAGGCCCACATTGCGCAGCAGCAGGAGGATGGGCGCATAGAGCAGGTTGGCCAGACCCATGCCAAGGCTAAGCTGCGCAAAGCCGAGCGAGTGCACGATGTGGCCTGCCACTATGGGCCCGAGCGCATAAGCCACGGAATAGGAGATGTCAGCGATGGCGTAGACGCTGCCATAGACCGAGACGTGGCGCACATCCACGAGAAAGGCGAGCGTGGGCAGCAGCGCTGTGTCCACCAGCGCAATGCCGAAACAAAGGCCGCAGAGAGATATCGCTAGTGGTGGGAAGGAGCGGCAGGCGGGCACCACACATGAGCTGACGCCGATCACTGCCAGTCCTAGTGCCCCGTACAGCCACTGCAGGTGAGGGTAGCGCGCTGCCAGGCGCACGGTGAGGTAGACGCCCAGCACGTGCGGCACAAAGGCGGGCAGCCAGGCCAAGCCCATCTCCCACTCAGACGCTGCCATCGTGCGCTTCATCCACGTGGCGATAGTGGGCTCAAGGAAGGCGAGTGGGATGTTGCAGGTGGTGAGCGCGCCGGCCACCACGGCGATGTAGGGGTCCAGCATGAGGCGGTGGATGGGCGTGCCCACCGGCAGGTTGGCCCTTGCCCGTGCCGCGGCCGAGAAGGGCTTGGCCACCGCCAACAGCAGCAGAGCGTCCAGCAGCGAAATGGCGGCGAGCACCAGAAAGGGCACGCACTTGCCTGCGAACTGGTAAAGGAAGCCCCCGAAGGGCGGTGCCACTAGACTTCCGAAACTGATGAAGGCCAGAGCCACGCCCAACGCGCGACTGCGCTCCGGCTCCTCGGGGTACTTGTCGGCTATCATGGCAATGCCCGACGTGTCTGCGAAGGCCGAGCCCAGGCCCTGCAGGCTGCGCGCCGCAAAGAGGGTGGCATAGTCCTCGGCGAAGGCGAACAGCACAGTGGAGGCGAACATGACGCCCAGGCCGATAAGCAGCGGCACATCGTAGCTCATGCGATCGATGAAAGGCCCGCTCAGGGGGTTTACCAGCAGCTGCAGGATGGCTTTGGAGGCAAACAGCACCCCGATCTTCACGTCCTCGCTTTCCGTGGGATAGCGGGGCCGCAGGGCAGACCTAGCTGGCTTCGTGGCCGTCGTGGAAGATTCTGAAATGTTGAGGGTGCCGATACTGGCATTGGTTGGGATAGGCGGCGACAGCGTGGACACCCATACTACGGGGGCCTGGGTGGGTTTCTCGTTGTCTCCACGCATGTGGGCGATGTAGTCGGGCACGATGGGTACGATGACCATGTACAGCATGTTGTCCAGGAACAGCGCCACGCACACGATGACCAGCACCAGGCGCCGCTGCCGCCGGGGCTCCTGCAGCGCCGCGCCCATCGCCTCTGACAGCTTGGAGGCTGCCGCCCGGGTCTGATCCGCTGTCGCCTCCTGTTCCATTGCCCCAACCCTGACGATTTTCCGGTGACACTTCGCTGGAGCTGGGCTTGAGCGCCCTGCAGTGCAGAGACCAGGGCTCAGAACGTCGGGGGCGCGGTCCGCGTGGCGCAGCGCCCCCAGTGCCTCAGGTGGCTGTAGGGCTCATGGTAACGGCAAGGACCCTGTACTGGCTAGGTGCCGCCGCTGTTCGGAGACGCTCACGGGACTCGCGGCCGCTGGGCTCAGGGGCGGTCCGAGAAGGCGAGAGCGCAGACAGACCGGGACCGGAGGCTGAGCGCTTTTCGCCTCAGGAGCCTAGAGCTGTTCCCGCAGAGCCAAGAGGCTGTTCGCGGGGGCCGAGGAGCATGCTGCTACCTACCGCCCACCGGCTCGCTAGCCCCACCGCCGCTCTACCCTCCCCTCGCGTCGGCTCCTGCCTCCTCCTCCTCCGCCTCCTCTTTTTTCCTTTCCACTCGGGCTGTGACGCGGTGAGTCTCGGCCCCCGAGTGGTGCCCGGGCCACTTGCGTCGTTCATGCTAATACGACGTCGGCGGGGCGGGGGCAGGAGGCGGAGCGCGGCCGCGCGAGGGTCCCCTCCTCAGATGCGCCGGGGTTGGAAGCCCTGGGAAGAGGTCTTGATGCAGAAAGAGTCCCGGCAAGCCCCTGCGGGTGGGTGCGCCTCACGAGGAGCAGACTCTGTCTCCCCCACAGGTTGGACCCTAGGTTCTAGGGGTCCAAGCCGGCTCTTCCCTCCCTCACCCCTGGAAGGGGCGCGCAACGCCGCTTACCCCCAGCCCCACGGGAAAGGGAGACGTCGGGGACTCCAGATCTCCGCTTCAGCCTGGATCCGGTTACAGCGGGCAAGGAGCCCCCGAGGTGAGCCGCGACTGTGTGCATCTGTTCTCGCAGCTGGAAGGTGGGCGGCCACTGGAGCAGCGCCTGGTACGGATCCCCCAACCTTTCTCTGACCCCGCCCCCGGCCCCTTGCACCCCAGAGAAGGAGGAGGCGCTGAGACTGCTGGGCCGGGTTCCCACCCATCGGCCCTTCCGGCGAACGTCACAGCAGAGGATTCTTGACTCAGGGGATTGAGGGGAGAAGTCGTCCTACTTCCACCCAGTTCTGCCTCTCCCACACTCCCTCACCACCTCACCACCCTTTCCCAGCCTGTACTCCCCCTTACGCCTTACACCACCCGGTCCCCCAGCTCCTCCTCTTTCTTCCCTCCTGGCCCCTCCCCACTCTAATTCCTCCCAGACCCTCCTGGCGCAGGACCAAGCCCTCCCCGTGCTCCTTCGAGGCCCCACCCCACCCCCACCCCAAAACTCCCTCTATTGCCTCCAGTCTCCTGAGCTGCCTGCCTCTAAGTCCTGGGGCAGGATGTGTCCTGGGCCCTGTCTTGAAGCTGTAGAAAGCCCGTGTGGGCACCGCTCCTGCTCCCCAGCTCCCCAGCTCCCCGGGTAGGGTCCAGCAGCTTTGCTCCATCAGAGGCTCAAGTGAGGCTCACCTGCTGAGGGGCTGGACCCCTCTGGGTTCGCAGCAGACAGGCTGAGTCGCAGGCTGTGAGCTGGGCCTACCTAATGTGTCCCCAAAAGAATATTGAGCCTGGATGGCCCTGGATGGCACTTGGGTCCGTGTTCTGCCTGTGGGCGGGCAGGAGAGAGTCTTTGAGGCAGCTGAGGTAGGGAGACCTGTGTTGTTGAGATTGCAGTTTGTCTCTCTTTTCCAGAGTCAGAGAGGATTTTCCTTATGACCTCAAATGCAAACTAGTCTTAGACCCAGCTCCTTCCCCTACTGTGCTCCCCACCCTGAAGGAGCCACTGAAATGCAGAGCAAAGAACTAGGGCTCCAGAGGCAGACCCCTGAGGTGGCTCCCAGCTCTGCAATTACTAGTCAGAGGGCCAGGGAATTGTTTCACCTCCTGGCCCCTTGGTTTCTTTATCCTTAAAACAGTGTAATAATGCCCACTGTCTCACCTACCCAGCACATAGTAAGAGCCATGAAAGTGGTTGCTCTTGTTATTATCACCTTAAAATGTGCTGTTTTATCTTCATTTCCCAGTAGTAGGTCATGTGAAGAGCAGATGAATGGTACAGGTGCACCCTGACTTCCTGGCTAGTCCATCTGGTCAGGGGGGCATTTTGATTCTGGGCTCAACCCTGGTTGGTGGGAGGCCTGAAGGCATTAGAGGCTTCCGTCCCTGAGATAGCTGTGGGATAAGGTACTAGAGACCAGGGCATCAGGGCCTTGCTCCCTCTGCCCCATGTACCCACCCACCAAGCACCCAGGGAAAGAGGAGAAGCCCCTCCACTTAAGGAGCTGCCAGCACCTGCTCTGTGGTGGCCTGACTTCCTCTGCCTAGGGAGGGACAGAGCCCAGTACCGGGACAGGCCCAGCTCTGGATGACCTTGGGCAAGACACAGCCTGTCTCTAGACTACAGGCTCAGTCTCTGTTAAGTAAGGTGTGAGGGGCCAGCTCACTCACTGCAGCCCTTGGACAGAAATGGGTACTGTTGAAGGGCCTTTTTGGGTGAGATAATCATTTTATTTGAAGGCCTTTAGTCACTATACATACACTGTCCAGCTCTTTGAAGTCTCCCTTCAGCCCACTTTGCATTTTTATGTCACCTGCTGCTTCAGTCATTTGAGTTTGAGAACTCATGATGAGAAAAACAACTTTTGCTTTTCTGAAGTGCTTCTATGCATTTTATATTATGATAACCTTGCTCACACCCAGAGTCTGGACATTTAGCAGGATCTTGACTTAGTTTAGGATTCCTGCCCTAAGTTCTTGCTTGGCTTCTTCTGAGGCATCTTTTAAAATAACCACCTAGAATTAAGCCAACAAAGAGTTAGTGACCTCTGCCCCAACTACCTTATAAGTAATAGTTGCTTGCTACCCTGATCTCCATCTCCTGCTCACTCATGACCTGGGACAGGGTCTGTCTTTCTCATGGCTCACTGTGCAACTCCCCCATCCCCGGCTGTAAGTAATAAATCTGTGACTCTACTTCTTTTTTGTGGGTGTAGTGAAATGTGCCTTCAGTCAAAATGACCCCAGAGTGGGAGCTGGGATGCTGAGGGCCTTTGTGGGGGACTTGTGCCTCCTTATTTAGCATGTTCTTAATTCAGTACCCCTGCTCTGGCTTCCCAACACAGACCTCTAGCCTCTTCTAACTTATTATGAGGCTTTAAAGGGTCAGTCTTCCAGCCAGCAGAGCAATTGCTTGTGCATATATTATTTGCCTTGTGTTTTTTTGCCTTCACAGTAATAGTATACATAGCAGTAATAGTATATAGCAGTAATAGTGCAACTCTTTTTGGGTCCCTGGACCAGATTCCAGTGTGTGTGTGTGTGTGTGTGTGTGTGTGAGAGAGAGAGAGAGCTGGGTCTTCCCCCAACACAACACCAAACAATTCTTGAACCCCAGCAGGGTGTCTGAGAACTCAATTCAGTTCTGACATTATCTGGCCTCTGCTTATCAGATTCCCCAGGTTAAGGGCTCTGTCCTACAAGATTGCCCTCCACCCTCCACTCCAGATGCCAATCACAAGCTCCAGGCGGTTACCTGTGCTTCTGACCAACCGACTACAGATTGGAGGTTTCACTGACCTTCCCATTAGGTTCAATTAACCTGCTAGAGTAGCTCACAGAACTCAGGAAAGCACTGACATTTACCAGTTTAATGAAGGATACTGTAAAGCATACAAGTTAATAGCCAGATAAAGAGATACATAAGGCAAGGTTCCAAAATAAAGGAACTTCTATCCTTGTGGAGGTTGGGGCCTGGCTCAGTGGCACGTGGATGCATTCTGGTTCCCCAAGCGTAGAAGCTCTCTCTGACAGGGAAGCAGGGTCCAAGAGACAGATATGCTCCTCTCATGGGTTCTTGTGAGGGCTTCACTGCGTAGTCATGATTTACTAAATCATTGGCCATTGGCTGATTCAACCTCCAGCCCTGCCCTTGTGTGGGATCCAAAAGTCCCTCATTGACATGACAAGACACCCATTTTAGCTTTAGGACTGCAGTGTTTTCAGGAACTGTAAGACCAGATATACCTGGGGAATGTATATTTGGTTATCTGAATCACCAAATATGTATTTCTTATGATTCCTTTTATCACAGTCCACCCCCTGGTCTTCAAACACAGATTCTTTAACAGCAAAACAATCATACCTGTCACATCCCTTACATCTAATATGGCATTTATACATGAGATAAAATAACAGTACCATGCAAATAGGCCTGACATTTGGAGAAGCCAGTATGGGGTGGGGACAGATTTAATAAGACAACTCATTTTTCCTATAAAGCCATCACAAATGTTTCTGTATTGGTCCAGTTCATCAACATATCTTAATGACCAGTGTTTCTCCCAGAGCAATGTAACTCCAGTTTGCAGGCTGTCATTAAGTCATGTCAGGTTCCAAAAATAGAGGTGGTCTTGGCAAACATATAGCTTCACCCCTTCTGGGTGTCTGGCATGCTTTTGCTAAGAGATATTATTATCTTGCTCTGAGCTCCTCGAAGTATTAACAAAATGTTGGATTTCCCTCATTGTGTAACCACTTATTCATCCCTTCACCCTCAGCTATAATTTCTCCTTCCTTCCATTTACCATTTATATTTACCCAGACTTTTCCCCCTGTGGAAGGGACATTAGGTTTGCCTACTATGCTGGTCCAGATTGCTAGCAGCAAGTGCCTCCCCTCAGTCCACTCCCACTCAGGTAAGGTAGGGTTACACAGGTGCAGATCCAGCCAACTGTCCCAGCCACTAGGCAGCACAGTCATGCTCACTGTCATCCTCAACTTGGCCAGATGGGGTGAAGGCAAAGTCCACCCCATCAGGCCCTTAGGAATCCTGACCCAAAGGTTTAAGGGTAAGGTTATAGTTTCTTGCTTAGTAATCTTCCCTGCTTCTGGCACCCAGAGATGCAGCCCTGGTCTTGGGACCCCTGCATCAGGTAGGAAAAAAAGTTGCAGTGATGTTGGGAAGAAGTGAATAGTCACACTACCATCCTCCCCCACCCCTCTTCCCCAGGTCTCCCAGAAAAGCAGTGGAATCTATCTAGTGGTGATCTTCCCTTAGCCCCCCTCATACCTTTATACCCCAGTTTTAGACAGCAAATGTTTCAACTGCCCATTCCAATTTCCTATTAAACCATTAGTCGGAGGATGATATGCAATGTCTAGCTCATGGGATGTCTCTTTGCCCAGCATAGAACATCATGGGCTGTAAAGTGTGTCCCTTCATCTGAAGAGATGTAACTTGGTGGCCAAAATTGGTACAGTATCTTTTGTTCCAATCCATTAATGGTGTTTAGAGCATTTACATCTACCACTGGGTATGCAAAAACCATCCAGAATAAATGTCTATTCGAGTCAGGACGCAGTTATAGCCTCCAGGGGCTACTGACATTGGCCCAATGTAATCCA